TCCAGCTGCACCCCATGTGTAGGTGTGGACTGAGCAGGGACAGGAGGTCAAGCCCTGCATGGAGGTTTCTTCTGCAGGCAACCAAAACAAACTGCTTACTTCAAACCCTGCCTTGCCTGGGCAGGGTCATTCCCAGTGTGGTTAATCTGCTAATTCCCCAAGGTGAAACCCTTCCCTTCACGAAGGGCGAGTACCGCACTGGGGGAACAATCCTGTCCCGTGTTGCTGCTCAGAGCCAGAAGGGTGGTGCTGCCCAGGCGCAAGGTGTTTCATCCCTCTGATGATACAGCTCTCATTAACCTGTTAGGAATCTTGCTGATTGACTATAAATGATTGCTTTTGGAATAGCCAGGTGTATTATCTATAATAAGGTCGTTTGGCAGCAGCTCGTCGTGGGGTGAGATGATGGCAAAGCTGCCCTGAAACGAGCATGGTGGAAAGCTTCAGCTCTGGGCAGGCTCTTGGACCATGCTAAAATCTGTTGTATTTGGACTTAGAGCCTAAAGCATCTCTTGTGTATTTATCCCTTTCTGCCTTTCCTAAGGAGAAATGAGGGCGGTGGAGATGTAGTTTAGTATACACATCTGTCAGACGGGCAAGGTCAAAAAAAAAAAAAAAAAAAAAAAAAAAAAAAAAAAAAAAAAAAAAAAAGGTTTGTGCTGCAAGAAGGACACAGAGGTATGGAGCTGCAGTGCTGAATGCCTTGGAAGAAAAAGGGCAGGTGGTTGCAGACAGTATTTGTCTGGTTCAGTGGTGATGTTGTCAGTACCTGTCTGGGTGCCACTGTCCCTCATCACTGCTCATGAGAGTGACAGCACAATGGCACGTGGAGAACTGCAGCACTGGCAAAGGGTGTGGGAAGCTCTGACCTTGCACTCAGCAGAAAGGCAGAGGGAAGCATGAACTGTGCTGCTGAGCTGCTCAAGGGTTGGGAAATCCCAGGAGTGCTGCAAACTGCAGAAATCCCAGTGACTGAAATGGGTGAATTTAACCGTGGCACAGATGGCTATCCGACACACAGAGCCATTGTTTAAAAACTAAATCTGTTTTAAAAACAAATTTCAAGCTGGTGTTGCTTTTGTACTTTACAGTGATTTTCCTAAACAGAGGGCTTTTTCTTATTGCTGGGTAATGCTGTAGACTTGTTTGAGTAAATATAACCTTGCTTTTGAAATTGGTACTAGCTTTGGTTGAAACTAGGGGATCGCAATGCATGTGAAGCAGGTGTATCATTTTAATGGGTGCCTGTTCAATTTTAATGCTGTGTGTTGTTTTTAAAAAGGCAAAATGACACTTGTATAGCTGTGGTGGGTTTTTTGGGGTTTTGGCAAATTGGTTTTGGGTGGAAATGAAATGCAATTAAAATGTTTTTCCTGCATACTCAACCGCGTTCTGCTCTGCCTGGATGGGAACGCTCATCCAAGCATGTAGTTAAGAGAGATATTAAACCAAAGTATTGCAGCTGGACTGAATTCCTTCCAGGCACTATGATGTCTTTCAGAATTCTGGAGAGATGAGGCCTTGTTCTTTCACCTTACTTCAAGCCAGAGAAATATTGCAAGCAGAAATGGAGCTTTTCTGTGGTTTGGGATGTTTGAGACACCCAGGAAGGGGTTCCTCTGTAGAAACTGGATGCTCCAGGCCAGCTCCTAGTCAGTGACTCCCACCACTGCACTCCTTTAGTTGCAAACATTTAAAAAAAAAAAAAAAAAAAAGAAAAAGAAAAAAAATAGCCTGGAGTTTTTAATCAGCCCTTTGCCTTTGACCAAGGAACAGAGCTCTCTTGTGCTGCAGGCTTCATCTGTGAGCATATATCTCTTGCTTTAGCAGCAGTGTCTATGCCCCAGCTCCAAAATGACAGTGGTAACGCTTAGACCTTGTTCTGCATGTGGCAGCAAGGAGCTGGGGAAGTGACAAGGACAGGCCAGGTCCTGCCACCGAGCTACCCGAGGCCTCCTGCAGCTCCTGCCAGCTCTGTGCGGTGCGTGCCAGGCGATGCACGAGAGGCACAGCACAAAGGGGTGTAAATCGTGAGACCCATTTTTTAGCTTCATTGGTGTTTATTCCTCGTTGGGCTGGGCCAGGAGCAGCTGCTGCGGGCACAGCTGGTGGAGTGGCTTCATCCACTGGGTAGGAACAGGCTGGGAGCTTGCTGAGCAGGTCTGGCCTTTCTGAGCCTCGGGGATGGAACGTGGACAGGCTGAGCAGCGAGTTAGTCATGGTTAGCCAGGTTGTGGCTGGTCATATGTCAACTTTTCCCCAGTGGGAAGTCCCAAAGGAAAAAGCTTCAGCATTTAAGTCTCCTTATTTACCTGTTAATCCTGTACCTCTTGTGCTTCTCTCACGAGCAGCACCTTGACCACTCACTTACGCAGAGAGGCGAACAGGAGCGAGGTTGTTCCCGTGCACGTGTGCTCGACTTGGCAGTTAGCCATGCAACGTAAGGAAATGAAAACCCCCAGCCCTGGACACAGTGAGGTTTTTATCAGCTTTCAGGGGTGTGCAGGTCCTTGAATCGCTTCCTTCCTCTTATGGGTTTTTCTCATTAAACTCGGGTATTTATCAGCATTTTTAAACCTGTTGCGTTAGAGAGGCCAGAGCAGAGTTTGCACGCGCTTAGAGGAGGCTGTGTAAAGCCAAGGTGGGGGACCCTGCTTTATTTATTTGTTACTTAAACAGTGCTGGGGCTTGTCGCCTTGAGCTCAGTCCCTCTTTGACCATGGGCTCCTTCACGAGTCCTAGCAGTCTGGACTTCTTTTGGCAGAGATCCTCCATCCTGCTGCATTCACACAAGGAAGCTGCTGCTGATTTTTTGTGTTGAGGGACCATGGTCTTGCTCCTGTAGCACTGGTAGTGCTATTAACTTCCATGCTTGTTCTTACCAGCTTGCTACTGTAAAATATCCATCCTCTTGCTTTCATTACCTTATTTTTTTCTACTTCATCCCATTCTCTCCTGGAACATCATCTTAGCCCTTATCTGCCAACCAAGCCCTCTTATTCCTGCCTCTGTCCCCACCACAGTCTGGCTCCTGCTTGATGCCAGCACAGGAGAGCAGGAGGTGGAGATACAGCCTGAACTAAATTAATGACTGAGTGAGCAGAGAAGGGAACAGAGCAGCAGAGTATTCGCTGGTATTTGTGGCACAGCTCTCAAGTCTTGGAGCCTCTGGGATGTTTTACATGTGGTTTTGGGTTGGTAGAAGAGATTGGTACTGACCTTTACCCATCCTGAGTGAACAAGTTACTGTACAAGTGTGTAAGTGAGGTTGTTTTCCATGAGTCCGTGCTGTTTCACTCACTGCTTTTGCTCTGGGCATTGGGAAACCTCTAAAATCCAGGACAGCAAAGTCTGTGCAGGGGAATCCAGGCACAGTGGGCAGCATGGGCAGGGGTTCAGGCCACTCCTAAGCTAACCAGGCCAGAGACAAGGCTCTCCAAAAGTGTTCCTGCCATTGCTGGGCTGGAGCAAGTCTTGGAAGCTGTTTGACTGGATGTTTGCAGCACTATTTTAAATTGGGAAGCTTCGGCAGAGCAGGCTTGCCCCTGCACCCGAGGCACACAGTGCCATGAGCTGACCACACACTAAATGTTTGTTGTTGTGCAGGCAGGCACGCACGGCAAGCAGCTGGGTGGTCAAGCTGGTTTTAAAAAAAATCTTGTAAACAGCATTTGTGGCAGCTGAGTATGCTTTTGTTTTAAAAAGAAAAAAAAAATCCCACTTGCTTATGTTTTTTTTTTTTTTTTTTTTTTAATGTGTCAGGAATTTTGCTTTCTAAACTCCCTGCAAGTTGTATTTACTGGGTGTGAGAGCTCTGGGCCTAGAGGGAGAGGCAAGGCACTATTGGGAACCGTGAAAACCCCAAATGCAAACAACAATTTTGTTAATAAGCTGCCTAGACGTGAAAAGGTGATGAAGCTTTTTGTAGAAGAGTCCAGAGGAGAAGAGAAGCGCTTCTTGAATGATCCTGAAGAGTAGGGGACCTTCTGTGCCAACTTGTTTGTCCCAGCAAAACAAAGCTCAAATGGGAAAAATCTTGCTTAAATGTGGGAAAAAGGGCAGTTCTGTGCAAGCTCAGATGGGCATAGACTGCTGTGAGTCAGGTTAGCCTGGAAATTAGGAGGAAAAAAAACTTAGAACCAACAGAGGGAGGTAATCAGAGCAAAGACCTGTGTAATTCAGAAGAGGATAAAATACCATGTAGCATCTTCAGGAGTGAGAAGTGGAATTTGAGACACAAGAAGCCCCTTCCAAGCCTCTCTTTGTAGCTCAGGAAGGCTCTTCAGGGGATATAAATGTAAACAGGTATAGCAGAGCTGGTGAAAGTGAACCTGCAGAGATTTAAAGACGATGAGCCCACATGAGCCTCTCGGTTACAGTGAAGGTGACTGGCTCTGTGCATAAGCTGAAGATATGTGATGGCTGGCCAAGAAGAAAAGTGTGTGGGATTTAACCTGTAAGCCGGTCATCGGTTCTGAGGAAGAGCTAAGGAAAAAGGGCAGCTTTTAGTTCTGCAAAATAATTGCAGTCCAGGACTCAGGGTGAGCCTTCATGGCTGTGCTTGGGATGCCCCAGCATCAGACGGGTGAGGTGAGATTGGTGATTGCCAACTCTTAAGAGCAGTGTGTTATCTGAGGCAGGGCCATGGGTGAGGATTTTCTGCCCTGAACAGCTGGGGGAAGCAGATCTGGATTTGAAACCTGTACGTGCAGTTGAATACCAAGTTGATTTGTGTAAACACGTGGTTCTGTGGACCTGGCTGTTCTCTGTTAGCACGACCTGCTCTTGGACTGTAATATGGCATTATCATTGCCCAGTTGATCACTCGTGGCTGCTTATGAGGCTGGAAAACTGGTTTCAAAAGTTTGAATTTAAGAGACAGGCTGCTGTCCTGTTTGCAAATGGAGACTGTCCAACAGTTACTGCTGGGCTACAGTGGATTATCTGACTGGTGGTGGATGGTGCTGACCTTCTCTCCTTCCCTTTTTCTCTCCTTTTAGGTAGGCGACCATAAGTTCAGTGCTCACCGAATTGTTCTGGCAGCTTCTATCCCCTACTTCCACGCCATGTTCACCAACGACATGATGGAGTGCAAGCAGGATGAGATTGTCATGCAGGGGATGGATCCCAGGTAACATCCCATATCTAGGGGTGCCGTGAGTGCTCTGTGGGCCTCACTGTTGCATGTGTAAGTCTTGAAAGCCTACCCTCTGTGTGAATGGCGATAGGAAAGGTTTTTCTTTTAGTAGCCTCCCCTGCTAGATTAATTGTCAATAAATTCTACCTGTTCTCCCCCTTGTTTAGTGCACTTGAGGCTCTGATCAACTTTGCCTACAATGGTCACCTGGCCATAGATCAGCAGAACGTCCAGTCTCTGCTGATGGGGGCGAGTTTCCTTCAGCTGCAGAACATCAAAGATGCTTGTTGCACTTTCCTCAGAGAGAGGTAAGGGGTTGTCTTTTAGCTGTGCTTACTGCTCCCCAACAGCAGCAAGGTTTTAATTATCTGTGTCTGGCTTGGGAGGGAGCAGGATGTCTCCTGCCAGCATGATAAGGAGGTCTGTATCTCCAGGGACTCACCATTCTCATTGCCTATAAAATAACTTTTCTGACTTAGGAGATGCTACAGCTGGGGTGCAGAATAAGGCTTTGGCAAGCCATGGGAATTAATACCTAGAGCAAAACTGAATGAACATTTCCCTTTTTCAGAGTTAGCTAGCCAGTTGCACATCACAGTGGTGCATCACTGCCTCTACTACTAACGAACCCATCCTCGCAGTAACTACCCTTTCTGCTGTTGTGTGTGTAAGAGGGGAGGAACAAAGGGACTGGGCCAAGGAGCTGGACAGGAAGCTGTAGCAGAGCCTTAAATTGGTCCCAGGTTTTACAGTTCCCTCGCTGGTGTTTGGCTGCAGGATTGTTCCAGCAGCACAGTCTGGAGATGGAAAAACTGGGCTGTTCTTTGGGAAAAGCACCACACACATTTTCAGATCGTGCCAGGGAGTCTTAGTGTTTAATTCCCCCTCCCTTCCTTAGCTTGATTTCTCTGCAGCTGCTCAGTGTATTGTGTGGTGTGATATTAAACAAATACATGGAACATCTCAGCCAGTTATTTTTCTTTATTTCTAAACAGAGGTATTCTAAAACCATGCTTTGGGGAGAAAAAATGTTTTTCCTCCATGTTTAAGATGTCTCCATTTTCAGTCTCCTGTGCATCCTGACTTTCTGCAGTTTGTTTAAAGTTAGTTTATGTAAGATTACAGAGTATTCATTTTTTCTTGCAAAAACATTTTATTTGAGGTACTGGTTATGAGACCAAGCTGGAAAGAGATGTGTTGCGTTGATTTTTGTCCCTGCTAGCTTGAGGTAGTTGTATCCATACATAGATTAAGCAAGGTGATTTGGTTTCTTGGAGTTAGATGCCACATTTTTTCCAGACCGACTAGGAGCAAGTAGGTGTCCTAAGTTAAATCCTGGATTGGAGTGTGCAACTGTCACTTTGGTTAATAACAAGAAAATTAGTGGACTCTGGCTGCTCTGAAGAGCTGGAACATGCACACTGAGCTCTCGTTCTTAAATGGAATTAAGACAGGGGATATTTTTAGGCCCCTGTGCACAGACAGGTCCATAGTGCTGTACCCAAGGTCTGTGTGAGCACTGAGAGCCATTCTTGCATGAAAGTGCCCCCCGTCAGTGCTGTGCATTTGCTCTTAGCACAGTGAGGGGCAGTCACTGAGAGTGCTGTCCCCAGAGTGGACACAGTGTCACATCCTCTGTGGTCATGCTGGCAACAGCTGGGCCTGGATTTTGCAGACCACTAGACGTTGAAACCATCAGATCCCAAGGTGTTTTCCCTTCGTGGGTAGCATTTGGTTTAGTATCTGGTGATTAGTGCCGCAAAACAACACAACTATCAGCTCTTGTTGAACGGTGACATGCCTGTACTGGGCAGGGCTTCTTGTTTGGGCAGGAGTGTCCGAGGCACATGCCTGTTTCTGTAGGGCGGGTGGTTGTGGCAAATAACATCTTCTCCAGCTTTATGCAGTGGCAGTTTGTCTGTGCTGGGGAGAGGCTGGGATCTGCAGTGATAGTTCTCACTGTCTAACCTCCAACTGCAAAAACATCTTTGGTGATAAAGCCTTCTTAATCGCAGGAAATGGCTTTATGAAGCTGCTACGGATGCTGTTCTGTAGTACTTTTAAAAAAAAAAGATGTAAGATTAAAAACAGAGACTGATGGTTGGTATTTGAGCAATGTGCTTGATTCCGGCTTTGTCCAATACTGGAGTTAAAAAGAAGGTGCTGGATGCACAGCCCAGGCACCCTGAGATGTGGGAGGGAGGGATTGCTGTGCAGAGCCTCTCGCTTCCCCTCAACTGACAACCTGCAGCCATCACATGGGGCCAGCTGAGTCTGTCCAGTGGCTCCATGTCAGGTCTGAGGGGACATTTTTAAGTTGTGGTTTCCATCCTCTGGCTCTGCTGTGGATTCACCTTCAGATCTCTGTGTGGATACATTCATTGGTGAGTTGGAACCTGCCACCACTGAAGAAGACACAGCTGTGGCTTTCCCTACATCACGTATCCTCTGAGGCTTGTGTTGCTCCACTGAACCTCTTTGTAATTCTTTCAATCCTTCCATTAAACTGACATTACTTTTGCTCTCCCCCGCTTGTCCCAGGCTTCACCCTAAGAATTGTCTGGGAGTGCGACAGTTTGCGGAGACGATGATGTGTGCAGTGCTCTATGACGCCGCCAACAGCTTCATTCATCAGCATTTCGTGGAGGTATCCATGTCTGAAGAGTTCCTAGCACTGCCTTTTGAAGACGTCCTGGAGCTTGTTTCTAGGGATGAGCTCAACGTGAAGTCTGAAGAGCAGGTGTGTACCTGACTCAGGTCTCAGCAGAGGTAGTTTTTCCTTTGGAGGGTTTTTGGTTGCTTGGGAGTGGAATGGGATGTGGCCTTATTCCTGGTCTGAACAAAGCTGAGAAGATGTCCTGGCATGGTGGGGACACTAAGAGGTGCTAGACAGAGCTGTGGTGACTCCCTGAGCCCCACTTCTTGTCTGTGCTGCCAGTGTTACCTTGCTCAGACCATAGATTTTGCAAAACGGTGTTTTAAGGTGTTTTGCTTCAATGGTGACAGATCCTGAGAACCTTCAGCTGTGCCCCTTAATGTTGATAAGTGGCTGGTTCCGGGGAGGAGGGACCGAGGGTGTGGGCAGTAGCAGGGAGCCCTTCCTCAGAGAGCTCGTGTTCAAGTCCAGACAAGTATTTCTGAAGTGTGAAGAATTTTCTGAGAGTGCTGCAGCGTTTTACAACAAATGTTCCATGGAATTTGCCATCAAGAGGCTCCTCTAGACTATCTTGTTCCTAGGGGAAAAAAAAAAAAAAGCGTGGCTGAGCAACCTTAAGATATTTCAACAGCCTTGAGAATCTGTCAGTGGTAGGCTGACAGGCTGCGGGAGAACAGAGCCTGTCCTCTAGCCAGGAAATCTGTCCTGCTATTTCTGAGGAGGTTCCTAAGGAGGTGACAAATGAAAAGCAGACCTACAGCTATCTCCATGTAGGGTAGGAGTGTGCTTTGATAATCAGGCTGAAATGCCGCTGAAATGGGGAGGGGGGAGAACCTGTTTCACATTCCAGCCATGTTGCTATATCATACCACAAATTTGTCTCTTGCTGTTTTTTCCAAGTGGATCCTTTGTGGAGCATGTAGGAGTCCAAAGAGGTTATCCCTTGTGTCCTGACAAGTGCCAGCCCCCTCTTCAGAAGTGTCTTTATTTTAGTGTAGTGCAGCTTATCTCTGGTCATAAAGCACCTTGTAGAGTGGAATTAAGTTTGGGGGGGTTTTTTGCCCAGGTGGCCAAGGAGGCCAGTGGCATCCTGGCTTGTGTCAGCACCGGCATGGCCAGCAGGGACAGGGAAGGGATCTGAGCCCTGGGCTTGGCACTGGTGAGGCCGCCCCTCACTGAGTGGGTTCAGTTTTGGGCCCCTCACCCCAAAAAGGCCATTGAATGACTCAAGTGTGCCCAGAGAAGGGCAACGGAGCTGGTGCAGGGTCTGGAGCACAGGTCTGCTGGGGAGCGGCTGAGGGAACTGGGGGGGTTCAGTCTGGAGAAGAGGAGGCTGAGGGGAGACCTTCTGGCCCTCTGCAACTCCCTGACAGGAGGGTGCAGAGAGGGGGGATGAGTCTCCTGAGCCAAGGACCCAGCGCCAGGCCCAGAGGGAATGGCCTCAAGCTGCACCAGGGCAGGGTCAGGCTGGCTCTGAGGAAGGATTTCTTTGCAGAAGGGGCTGTTGGGCGTTGGAATGGGCTGCCCAGGGCAGGGGGGGAGTCCCCAGGATCCCTGGAGGGGTTGAAGAGTCGGGCTGACCCAGCGCTGAGGGATCTGGTGGAGTTGGGAATGGTCAGGGTGAGGTTCATGGTTGTGCTGGAGGAGCTTCAAGGGCTTTTCCAACCGGGGTGATTCTGTGATTCTAAGCTCACCATGATGCTGATGAAGAAGTACTTTTGCACTGAAAGCCTCAGGAATGTTGATGTGAGAGGCTCCACATCTCCACCATAGAGGAAGGAGTTGATAATTTTGTTCTGGTCCTGCTGGAGTTTCTTCCACCACCACAGGTTGCAATAAAAGACCACCCGAAGTGGGTGTGTAATCTGGTTGAGAGGACAGCTACCCTGCAAGGTGGTGGCTGTGACCACAGTGACCAGTTCTGCAGCTGCTGGGAGACTGCTGAGGGTTTGTGAGCTCCCTGAGCTGAACCTTTGAACTGAAGTGAGGCTGCAGTGGGTGACTCTGGTCTTGTAATGTGACCCCGCTCAGTGTGGCCGCTGGGGACACCATGCTCAGTGGCAGCTCTGCCTCGGGTCACTGTGACGGGACTTGGGTGTAGTCACCTGGGTGTAAGTGCAAGAGGGTAGAAGGACAACCCAGCTCAGCCTTTACCTGTGAGAGTCCTGTGAACCAAGGAGTACGTGTCTCCAGTTAAACGAGTTGGCAGGCTCCTTCTGTAATCTGGAGTCATCCAAAACAGGGCATGTGAGCAGTGGTCTGAAGAGATCTGCCTCTCCAGTGTCTGCAAAGGAGCCTGGAGGGACCAGCTCAGCTCCAGACATCTACCATGTACTTATCCAAAGTTGACAGATGGATCCCTCTCATCAAAACTGACTTCTGGTTTTTCATAGAGCACCACCATACTCTGTTCTTCTTCCCCAGTCTGCTGACTTTTGACACTAAATAACCTTTTTTTTTTTTCATTCTGTCCCACTTCCTCTCCCAAAATTCTCTTTCCAGCTCCCTCACCTCCCTGCAAACTAAGTACCATCCCAGAGCAGAATTATTGCAGATTAAGTCAGGGGCAGAGAGAGCAATGCCAAAGCCAAGCACCCGAGCATCAGCCAACAGGAGAGTCCTCTGGTGCAACGTAGAGGATCACTGTACTGTCCCAAACCCGTGTCATCTGAGATCAGGGGAAGGTCATAGAATCCTGGAATGGTTTGGGTTGGGAAGGACCTTAGAGATCATCCAGTTCCAACTCCCTGCCCCGGGCAGGGACACCTTCCACTAACCCAGGTTGCCCAAATCCCCATCCAACCTGGCCTTGAACCCTTCCAGGGAGGGGGCAGCCACAGCTGCTCTGGGCAGCCTGTGCCAGGGCCTCACCACCCTCACAGGGAAGATTTTTTTCCTTGTATCTGACCTAAATCTCCCCTCTTTTAGTTTAAAACTTACCTCTTGTCCTATCCCTACACCCCTGATGACGATTCCCTCCCCCCTTTCCTGCAGCCCCTTTCAGCCCTGGGAGGCCACTCTAAGGTCTCCCCAGAGCCTTCTCTTCTCCAGATGAACCCCCCAACTCTCTCAGCCTGTCCTCACAGGGGGGTGCTCCAGCCCCCCCAGCATCCTCGTGGCTTCCTCTGGCCCCGCTTGAGCAGGTCCGTGTCCTCCTGCTGTTGGTGCCCCCAGAGCTGGACCCAGCCCTGCAGGGGGGTCTCAGGAGAGGGGAGCAGAGGGGGAGAATCCCCCCCTCGCCCTGCTGCCCACACTGCTCTGGGTGCAGCCCAGCACACGGGTGGCTTTCTGGGCTGTGAGCTCACATTGCTGGCTCACAGGCAGTTTTCCATCCACCAACACCTGCAAGTCCTTCTCTTGGGGCTGCTCTCCATCCCCTCCTCACCCAGACTGGATTTGTGCTTGGGATTGCCCCAACCCATGGGCAGGACCTTGCCCTTGGCCTTGTTGAACTCCTTGAGGTTGGCACCATCCCACCTCTCCAGCCTGTCCAGGTCCTTCTGGATGACACATCTCTTCCCTCCAGCTTGTTGACCAATTGATCATTGTCAAAATGTGGTTTCTCTCTCGTTGGACAGCTAGCAGCAGTAGGAGCTTACAAGGGAAAAAAAAAAAGAAAACCAACAAAACTCCCAACTTCCCATGTCTCTCTTCCGGCAGGTGTTTGAAGCTGCATTAGCTTGGATACGGTATGACCGAGACCAGCGAGAGTCCTTCCTACCTGAGCTCCTGTCCAAAATCCGCCTCCCCCTTTGTCGACCCCAGTTTCTCACTGACCGTGTGCAACAAGATGACCTGGTCCGCTGCTGCCACAAATGCAGGTGAGCCTTGGATACGGTGTTAGAAACCCACCCAGGGGGTGCTGGGTTTCAGTGGGATAGAGGTAGCAGGGATGTGGTTTAGCAGTCTTGGGAATTGAAATTCTCTTTTTGTGGACAGGGCACCTCATGTAGTCAAAAAAACAAAGCACCTTCCTCAGTTTTAACCTGCCTTCTAGAAGTATTGGCTCATGGGAGGGGGAAAGTCTTCAAATCCTTGAATCTGCATCTGACTGAAGATTTATTCCTATCAGCCAAACTCTTTAATCATTTGGCTTTGATTTCAGAGATCTAGTTGATGAAGCAAAAGATTATCACCTCATGCCAGAGCGTCGGCCACACCTCCCGGCGTTCAAGACCCGTCCTCGGTGCTGTACTTCGATTGCAGGATTGATTTATGCTGTCGGAGGACTCAACTCAGCAGGTACCTTGCATATCCTCTACCCGCAGCGCAGAGAGCAGCGTAGTTCACTGTGTAGAACCACAGGACTGTGAATTTCCCTCGTGTGAAGCATTGAGCCATTTCTCCTCCTCTGTGCAGCACTTTGCCCCTTCTGCTGAAGCGCTCAGAGTGGCTGTGCCCATAGTGGAACATCTTCCAGCTAGAAATTCTGGCTAGGTCAGGTTTATTTAGGACAGCCGTTCTTGCTAATCTGAAAGAATTGGCGTTTTGAGGATGATGTCCTTGCCTGTAGCCACAAGCAGGACTTGGAAGTGCCTAGCTGATGTCCTTGGGGTGCTGGGGTCACATGTGCAGACACAGCCTAGTCATAGCGTAAAAAGTGTCCATGAAATGATCTTCTGGGGCCTCAACCAACCCGGTTAACCTGGGCTGGGTCTCGTGGGCCTCACCACACCATGGCTGGTTTATCCTCTAGAGATTTATCCTTCCCGGGCAGCCGTGACACCAACAGAGGGGATGTGGCAGGTCTCTGCTGCCCCATTGAGGTCAGTGAAGGTCCCACTGCCACAGCCTGGGACTAGTCAAGCCTTGGGCAGGCTTTGAAACACTCTACAATCCTTCTGCACTGCAGAGTGCACATGATAGGAATTTTTCAGAGCAGGTTCTCATTGTAGGTGAGTAGGGATGTGGCTGGGAAATGCCTCTGACGTGACTTCGGTGGCGAAGCCGAGAGGCTGGAATAGGACATCTGAGAGCCCAGAATAGGATGTGTGAGATCTTGGCCACTTTCCCAGAAAAAAGCAGGATAAGTTCCTGTGTCAGCCCCATCTTTGGGCTCAGAGCAGCGACCGCTTCTCCCTCGTGCTCCTCCACTACAGGCAAGCTTACTAAAACAGTGTTTTACTGGGTCTCCCTCTTTTAATTTGAGTAGCAAATTTTTATGCAGGTGACTCGCTGAACGTGGTGGAAGTCTTTGATCCCATTGCCAACCGCTGGGAGAAGTGCCAGCCCATGACCACGGCCCGCAGCCGAGTCGGGGTTGCGGTGGTGAACGGGCTGCTCTATGCCATCGGTGGCTACGATGGCCAGCTGAGGCTGAGCACTGTGGAGGTGTACAACCCAGAGATGGATTCCTGGTCCAAAGTGGAAAGTATGAACAGCAAGCGAAGGTACGTGCAGCTAGCTCAGTGGGAAGGGGGATCTTTGGAGCAGGACAGGAAAAAAAAAAAAGAGGTTGTAGGAAAGCTGGAGGTGGTGGATGCCAAATAAAAAAATGTATGTGTGGGGAAGAAGCAGAAGAAAAAGGAGGAGTGGAGCAGTATGGAAGCAGGTGGGATTTGCCTGGCCATGCTTAGGGCACTCGTGCTGATTCTGGGCACTGCTTGCTGGTGAAAATTGGAAAACTGTCAGCAGTTCGACAAAATTATATTTACAAGGAGAGCCGTTAAGACCTCAGTAAGTAAAAACCAGCTGAGCGGTGTGGGCTGTAAGCTACGGAGTTCTCTCAGTTTTGGTGGCATCGTGGAGTGAAATTAAACTGCAAGAGGGTGATCACGTTCTGCTGGTGAGGTCTGAGAGGGTTTGGAGTCCCAAAGGAGGTGGTCAGAGCCCTGTTTCTACATGTGGTCATACTAGGTGGTGAGTAAAGCACTGACAGGCACCGTGTAGGAGATTCCAAATAAACACATTTTACCATCTCTGTCTAGTACTGGCATTTTCTTTCCCTCCCAGAAAACAGAAGAGAATCACAGCTGGGAGGGAAAGGAGTATTTTTATCACCCAGTGAAAGGGGTTTCCAGCTAAGCAGGTGTTTGTGCTTGATAAACAGAGCTGTGCGGTTCCCAGTCGCTTGCTAAGAGTTGTTAAATTGTTTGCTTTTCTGCAAGCTTTGCAGCACTTCTTTACCATAATGGTTTGTCTGGTTTGCCTTTTTTTGTGGTCCGAGACGTTGATGGCTTGGGAAGAGCACGCTGCAAGCGGCCAAGTACATGAAATTCTGGGCACAAAGCTCTGATTTGTAGTGGAAAAGCTCTTTTTTTTTTCCATAGCAGCGAGGTTCCTGGGAGCTTTTCCCACAGTGAGAGGCAGTTTCTCTTCCACAATTGGGTGGTTCTGCCTTGAAGCCAAGCAGAAGGGACATTGGGTGCTCTTGTGCAGAGGAAAAATGTCACTTGTTGTACAAACTGCTGGGCTCCAGCTGCAGTGCTGGGGTTTTATCGTGGAGGATTGCGTTGCTGAGTTTTATGAGAAGCTTTGACTGCATTTTTCAAGGTGGGATTCTGGTCTCTTGCCCCATTTTATAGCCTTTTTGAGCCAAAGAGGTGATTTACAAGGTGTAGTAACAGGGTCAGGCACCTCGATTTAACGAGCTTTACGTTTGACAGCAATTAGTGGTTCTTCTGAGGCTGCACAGTGATGCTCCTCACCCTGTGTTATCTCCAGCCAGCAGCAGTGGGGAGATCCTCCATGGGAAACAGTAATTGCTGGGATTTTGACTCCATGATCTGGGCCAAATTTTCTCCCTGTGTTTTGATTTAGTTCTTTTGATGGGGAAAAGGGGGTGTGCTCATACCATGGGCATTTCTCCTGACCTGCAAGGCTCAGAGGTGGGACTGAGCAGTTGAGCACCCTGGAGGTGAAGCAAAGGGGAGAGGAGGAAGTTGGGTGGGGTGCAGGAGGGGATGGCAGGCAGCAGGCTGTGCAAATTTCCTGCATTCTGGACGGTGTGGCAGTGCCTACAGCCATTTTATGGGGTCCTGCACTTCCTTGCAGCGCGATGGGAACGGTGGTGCTGGATGGCCAGATCTACGTATGTGGCGGGTACGATGGAAACTCATCCCTCAACTCTGTGGAGTCCTACTCTCCAGAGACAAACAAGTAAGAGCTCTTCATGCCTGTTTATTTGCTGCTGAGGTAGTGCTGTGGCACTGCTGGGTGTCCGGGCTATGAAGGGAACATAATAAACAGTGTGTAAAAGCCCTTATATGCTGACAGCAGAGCAGTATCCCTCCTCATGAGGGATTAACCTGGATGCAAATGAGCAAAACCATGGTTTAAATAAAGTAGGTGGTGAGAGTTACCAGAACCCAGCTCTAGAAAATCCAGTCGAGTTGAGATAATCTTTGGGGATCATTGCTAATCAATCCCCTCTCCCAACAAGGTGGACAGTGGTGACCCCCATGAGCTCCAACCGCAGCGCCGCTGGAGTCACCGTCTTCGAGGGCCGGATCTACGTGTCGGGGGGGCATGATGGCCTGCAGATCTTCAACAGTGTAAGTTGGGGGTGGGGGTGGGGGTTCCTGTGAGCCTCCTGCAGGAATTCACTTACTGCGGGTAGTTGAAAGGTCAGGCTGGGGCTGGGAGGGCTCCATGCCACTTCCCTCTGCACCCTAAGTGCCATCAGTGTTTGCAGCACCAAATTCTGATCTTTCCAGGGCCCTTCTTGCTCAAGAAATGAGCTGGGAGCTGGGCTGGAAGTGCTGTTCTTGTGCCCCAGCACCAAAAGGATTGAACTAGTGCATTTTGTCTTCTCCCCACTTCCTTTTCATTTTAAAATCATTTTATCCTTGCATTCCTTTGAGCTCTGAAGTATCCCAAATGTCAGGCTTTTACCTCTTCTTTCTGTGCCTGTCTGGCTTCTGTTTCAGAAACAGATTAGCACTGAAACAAGCTTCACAGCAGGGGCAGTTACAGAATCACAGAATCCTCTCGGTTGGAAAAGCCCTTGAAGCTCCTCCAGTCCAGCCATGAACCTCACCCTGACCGTTGCCAACTCCACCAGATCCCTCAGCGCTGGGTCAGCCCGACTCTTCAACTCCTCCAGGGATGGGGACTCCCCCCCTGCCCTGGGCAGCCCATTCCAACGCCCAGCAGCCCCTTCTGCAAAGAAATCCTTCCTCAGAGCCAGCCTGACCCTGCCCTGGCACAGCTTGAGGCCATTCCCTCTGGGCCTGGAGCTGGGTCCTTGGCTCAGGAGACTCATCCCCCCTCTCTGCACCCTCCTGTCAGGGAGTCACAGAGGGCGATGAGGTCTCCCCTCAGCCTCCTCTTCTCCAGACTGAACCCCCCCAGTTCCCTCAGCCGCTCCCCAGCAGACCTGTGCTCCAGACCCTGCACCAGCTCCGTTGCCCTTCTCTGGACACGCTCGAGTCATTCAATGGCCTTTTTGGGGTGAGGGGCCCAAAACTGAACCCACTCATCGAGGGGCGGCCTCACCAGTGCCGAGCACAGGGCTCAGATCCCTTCCCTGTCCCTGCTGGCCATGCCAGTGGTGACACAAGCCAGGATGCCATTGGCCTCCTTGGCCCCCTGGGCACACTGCTGGCTCATTATCAATCCCCCCCAGGTCCCTCTCTGACTGGCAGCTCTCCAGCCACTCCTCCCCAGGCCTGTAGCGTTGCTGGGGGTTGTTGTGGCCCAAGGGCGGCCCCTGGCATTTGCCCTTAGTGCAAGTTACCAGTTGATGGTATGAGCCCAGCTTGCCCTCTCCTACCTGCTCTGTGTTTCAGCTTTCTGCCTGTTTTCTAAAGAAAAGCCTGATGTGGAACAGAAAAGAGTCGTTCATCCACTCAGGAGTGGACAACATGGGGAGCTGTATCTGAGTTGGATGTGTTACTAATGCACTGCTCTCAGAAACTGGTCATAAAGGGTTTGTTGGGAGTAGCAGTAACTCTTCCTGCCTTGCTCAGCAGATGGGGGCAGGCTCTTGTCTGTGGCCTGAAGTACCCCAGAGCCAAGAACTACAAATCTGCTTGTCTGAGCACATTCCTGAGCGGGACAAGTCTGGAGCAGTGCAAGAGTCCTTGCAGAAGGGGTCCATCTAATGGTCTCACTAGAAGTGCAAGGGATACAAAATGGTGTTGGTTGGGAGTTTTTCCCCCCTGAGGAGCTGGATAGCCCTTTTACAGATACATGTGTCGGCTTTTTCTGAAAGTGGAAGAGGTTATCGTGCAGAGGAAGGGAAGGAACCCTACCCTTTGCCATGGGATGCAGGATGTAAGCTTGAGCTGTGTCAGGAGTGGTGGTTGTCCGACATGAGAAACTGGAAAGTTTGGGCTGTTACAGCTGAAATCTGCTGCCTGGAGAGAGCGGGGAGTCTCGCTTGAAGTTAGGAGAGACTTAGGGGATCGTTAAGGACAGCTTGGACATGCACTTCTTGGGTCTGACAGAGCTTTGGCTGCCTCTGTCTCGAGGCAGCATCCTGGTGCATGAGGAAAATTAATACCCTGAAATTGAGACACAATCCTGTTGCAATTGAACTTTTAATTAAAGGGTGTTCAATCCTTTTGGTGCTGAGGCTCAGAGACTGGGAAAAGTTTAAAATGAAAGGGGACGGATCTGCAAAGCTGCGTTTGCTGTGGGGAATGGTTTCTCCCCTCATTCATCTGCTCCAGCTCCCTGGGCCAAGCTCAGGGGGAGCAGAGTGAAACGCAACACCCGGTGAGATCTGGGTCGTTAGAAAAGTTTAAAACTGATCTTAAAACCGTCTAAATCCAACCAACATGCATGATTGGAATAACCTGCACGATCCAAGCGAGGGTCTGCTGAGACCACGTGCTCTCTGTGACTGCAGGTGGAGTACTACAACCACCACACGGCCACGTGGCACCCAGTGGCCAGCATGCTCAACAAACGCTGCCGCCATGGAGCGGCCTCGCTGGGCAGCAAGATGTTTGTCTGCGGAGGCTACGACGGCTCGGGCTTCCTCAGCATCGCCGAGGTCTACAGCTCCATGGCAGATCAGTGGTACCTGATCGTCCCCATGAACACCCGGAGGAGCCGAGTCTCACTGGTGGCGAACTGTGGCCGGCTCTACGCCGTGGGGGGTTACGACGGACAGTCCAACCTCAGCTCAGTAGAAATGTACGACCCGGAGACAAACCGTTGGACGTTTATGGCCCCGATGGTGTGTCATGAGGGAGGGGTTGGCGTGGGCTGCATCCCCCTCCTGACCATCTGAGAGGAGAGAGTTTGGGGAGGGGGGGAGACACACTCATCTTCTCAGTGACAATCCGGGGAGAGTGTTTCCGCCGGGGTGCGTTTCCAGGTGCTCATTCACACACACACACACACACAAACACACAAAAAACTCAACAAACCAATCCCCACCCTTGGCTTTTTGGGCTGAGGCTCCTCCATGATCAAACATGTTGAAATACAGTGAGTCGACGTGCTGGTGTGAGCAAGGACCTGCCCACCTTCCTCCACCCCCCCACACACCCCCCCCGTTGGCCTTTGCTGGGTGAATCCTTCCCCTCCCTGTGGTCTGCTTCTGGCTGCACCCTTGGGAAGCCCTGGTGTAGGCCAGGGGAGCAGGGCAGGCTGAATTATGACATAAAAACAGCCGCTTTAATGACTTTGAAAATACCCTCACACCTTCCATCAGCAGCAAAGCAACCCTGGTACCCCGAGGGTTCGGTTTGGCTGTCGTGGTGGCTTGCTGCTGGGCAACGGATCTCCCCTGGCTTATTGAAACAGAAAAAAAAACCCCAAAACCACTGGCATCAGTTCCCGGACCACATCCAGGCTTTGCTTCCAAGGTGTTTCTTGCACAAGATGTTGCTGGCTTCTCAGAGCAGAGCCGGGCTTTCTTCAGCTCGGTGGGGAAAACTTCTCCACAAGAGCCACAGGATGGAGAAACTAGGAAGAGGAAAACGGGTCGGTTAAACCATTGCGCCGTTTCAGCAAGCTTTGGAGGAGAAGGCTGAACATATATGACACTAAGCAACAGTCAAGATTTCAAAATGGGAGCTAGGCTGAGGTGTTCATTGTAAAGATGTCCCTTAAATTAAATATTGATATATTTTCAAAGTCGATGTGTAAGAGGCAGCTGGAGCAGAGCGGGGCTGTGATCTGTCAGGAGAGGGAAGCAAAATATGTGTTGAATTTGTGGGCTGTGCTGGGGGTGGGGAGAGGGACGGCTGAGGGAATTGTGTGTTGGTATCA